GCTGAGAGTGCATTTTGATGGAAAGAGAGGAGGGTTGTTGGGGGCTGCTGGAGGCCAGCACTGTGAGCCTTTGACATCCAAGAAGAGTAGGATGTATCTCCAAAAATTCCTAGGGGCCAAACTTTACCTAGAGGGCAGCCAACCGCTCCTCAATAATTATCCTGGGTGTGCCAACAACCCCTTATTGAAGATTCCTTGTAAGAAGTGGTCTGGTCAAAGACTTGCCCCCTGCATTTGCTTTCCTCCTATCCACCACCTACATTTCCACAGGGAAGAAACACTTACTAGAACCCCGACTGTCCTCTAACAGTTCTCCATACCTCTCTTCCCAGTGTGGGGGTCTTTTGAATTCTGAACAAAACAATCTGGCCAAGAAATTTTTACGTGACCATGCTCAATTTAACTCACTACAACAAACATTTTTTGAATACCTGCTGTGTGCTCACTGAGTTAAAGGAGAGGCAAACAGTTGCTTTGGAGGTAAATGTTCAGTTTCATTTCCTGGTTTCAGTATCAACACCTCTCGTAGTGAGACTTAAATAGGAAAGAGGCAGGGCAGCGGAGAGCAGACATCCTATGCTCAAAGCGAAGAGCTGTAAAAGAAATGGGACTTAAAGCTATTTGAAAAGAAGGTGAAAGACTCATTAAGAACCAAGTCTAAGCACTGACTGGGGACTTACTAAGAACTCTTATTTTTCAGAATCATTTACATTTGTCTCACATCAAATTCATATCCACGCTCCGGGCAAATTTTGATATGCATCATTGTCTGCAATCAGGATTTTCCAAGAAAGCAACCTTCAACTTGATGGAGCAAAAGTTAGACTTGAATTTGCATTAATGTATATTTTTATGGACAAATTATGCACATATACATACACACATATATATCACTGAAACTATGATTAAATGTATATTTGCATACCCTTCACACGGTTAATGCGTATATATATATATATTTTTTTTTATGCCATATATTTTTAGACTAGTTAATCATCTGAGCTTCAGTTTCCTGATCAGAAATTAGGGCTAATAATGCATATCATAAGGCTTCCATCAGGACTATACACGACAGACACCAGAGTCTAGGAAGGTCTGCTGAATGAAAGGCTCCAGGAGATGAATGCTTTAAAAATTTAGCCAAGGAAAAGTAATCCACAGACAGGGAAATACACTCATGGTGGTAATTCCTCTTTGCTTTTTAAACTATCTTTTTGGATCCGCCACCTCTCCTCACATCTCATCTTTTGCTTTGGTTCATAGAGGAGAAACTGCACCCACTCTGGCCCTTCCTCCTTGCGCACACACCCTAGGAAGGATTTGCTAATTATGTTGGCAGGGCACGACTCATTCAGCAGGGTTTACTAGCAGTGGGCAGGTCACTGTGACCGAAAGGCAGGGCAGAGGCATGACTTTCTTGTATCCTTCACGCATGTACATTGTCCCTTTTCTGCTTTCCTCTCTCACTCCTAGACTCCAAGTTGAAAGCTTCCTTGGGCAAAACCCCCCTCTCCGGGGAAAGCCTCTCCACTTTCTCTCTCCTATCTTGTTCAGCTGGTGGAGTAGAGGCCACCTTTTAGATTTCAGGAGATAAGTATGAAGCCCAGCTTGCCTTCCAGATGGACACCTCTTGTGTGCACTAGCCTACCTGTTTACCTGGGAAGTCCTGCCTCAGTGTGGTGGGCATGCAGCACTGGTGCCCCAGCAGGGCTGTTGCTTTTGCACAGCTCACTCTGCAGGTAACAAACACTGGAGGTAGGATGAGGGAATAGAATTCAAGGATGCACACCTTATTCACAACCCCACTCTTCCTCTCCTTAGCAACTTAGATAGAGAAATAATAGGAAAAAGTTATATTTGTGTACATTATCAAGAGGGGTAATTATTTTAATGCTAATTAGCCTCTTAGCTTGAATTCAAATCCTAAATGACCTTTCAAGTGCTGGGAGACGATCTTTTGATTCAGGTCCTAACTGCAAACGGGTTGGGAAAGGCCGCCCGGCTCCAACCCACTCTGACACTGAAGATCCCGGAGATCTCCCGGGAGGAATCCTGCAGTTCTGTGAGTTCCTGGTGCAATGTTCTGGGTGCTGGGGTCCACAGCTGATTAGGACAGGGAGGTCCAGGGAAGAAACGGACCTTCTCAAGACATTAACTTTCAACTTGAAGTTAACTGTTTCAGTGTTGGGAAATGGTTCCAGGCAAAACATCAGAGCAAAATGAGACCGATAGTGGTGCCTCCATCTGGATGTAAATAAAAATCTTAGAAGACACAGACACAGATGACAGTGTGGTGGTTTCCAGAGGGCAGGGGTACTGGGGAGCAGTAGAAGGTGAAGGGGGCCAAATGGCTGGTGATGGAAGGTGATCTGACTTTGAGTGGCGGGCACACAAGGCAATATACAGACCATGTGTCATAGTAATGTACAATTGAAACCTATAAAATCTGATTGACCAATGTTACTACAATGAATTTAATTTAAAAAATATAATAAAACATCAAAAGAACTTTATTCTAAATACAAATAGAATGCCAGGGGTACTGATAGTCCCTGGGAAAGAACTGATTGCTACATCTTGCCATTGTGAGCTCTTCCCATTGTTCTAGGGTCAGTCTGACTAGCATACCTAAGTTTTAGGCATAATTTTGACTGATGCCAAGTTTTCTTCTACTGCACATTTATCTCCTCACTATCCTCCCTACAAACACATGCAAAACAAAACAGGCATGGGCCCCCAAACTGGCTCCAGCACAATGCTGTCAGTCTTGAGTCTTCCCAGTCTTCATTTGCCAGTATATATGAGAGCTTACATAGACCAGGCCTGGTGCTAAGTGCTAGCAATCCAAAGACGGGAGGACACCAGCAGCTCCCTTCACATGACTGTATTCGTGTGCAAGTGTTACTTGTCCCAGGGAAATGTAGACTTCAGCAGAGATGAAAGGCTTCATCTGAAGGACTAACTAAAGTTCAAGACTGCAAGGGGCAAAATTACTCTTCAAAGTGTTCTTCGATGAAACCCTTCGCTGAAGGGAAGCACCTTATTTTGTGAAGAATTTCACAAATTTTAGCTTTCTATCCCTAATCTTCCTCTTCGTATCTTTGACCTAGTAAATTCTTAGTTTTCCCACAGCATATAAGAATGAGATCAGTCATCTTGCATTGTCTACCGCCAGGAGGGAAAGAAACCACACAGACCAAAGGAAGAAAATCCTTACGTCTCAGAAATTCCCAGAAGTTATAAAAAACACTTTCCTCTTTCTCCCTTAAAAACCTAAAATAATTTGCAAAGAGATCTATTCCCTTGTTTTAAAGTATGATAATATTATTTTAAAGCACCAAATCTAGGCAGTTTGATATCATAGTTTATATTTAAAAATTTATAAGTTTCTAATCTATTTTATTTTGAAAACCAGGTAAGTGCTTGTAAAGAGAACATGCTTAGACTGGTCTTGTTACTAGGTTCTAATGCTGGAAGGATTTCTAGGTTCAATTAAATAAATAAATAAATAAATAAACAAACAAACAAACAAACCTAACCATGATGTAATTCTAGATTTCTTTTTTTCCTTTAGACATGATTTGTTCACCATAGCAACACAGTGTTTTACTACTAGATATCTATACAGCACAAGGGGAGAAGAACAGGCTATTACTTCATAGGTTATTTGGGGGTACAGAATGTGACTATTGGGAAAATTCAAGATGAAATATAGATGTCACTGGGGTTCTGTTTTAGCCAGGCAAGCTGACTCAATTTTCTAGTAGCATCAGCTGATCAACATTTGTAACCAAATCAACTGCTGACATCATTTAAAATAACACAAGCAGAGAAGCAGTATAGTTCGGTGGTTAAGATCATGAAGTCTGGGATCAAGTTTCTTGGGTCCAAATCCTGTTTCTAGTATTTACTATCTGTGTGACCTTGGGAGAGTTCCCTAACCTCTCTGTGCCTTAGTTCCTTCATCACCAAAATGTGGGCACTAATTACGCCTCCTTCAGGGGGTTATTATAAGAATTAAATGACTGATTACTTGTGCTTACACTGATGCTTTACATACAGGGTCTGGCACAGATAATGCCCCTTTTTTATTACAAAATCTTTTATGACAAAATCATAAGCATGCAATTCTATAACATATCAATACCATACTCAAGCACACCACATGACATTTTAGGTGAAATGCTCAAATTAAAACTATAAATGATTACAGCCATATTATTACCCTACCAACCACACTCAAGCAGGCCTTACTTCTGCCAGACCCTGTAGAGCAAGAACTTTGGAAGTGTTGTTACATAAAGACAAAAAATATAAATTGGCTACCTTCCATCTCTCTGCTGGGTAGAAATGGTCAAAGATCCCGAGATTTGAGGGCATGGCGGATTATTTTAGTCTGTAACTTTGGATGAGTCCTTTGAGAACTTGCTAGGGGCCCTTTGGGGAGCGATTCTATAAGATCTGAAATCCCGTGGCAGTCTGCTGCCCAGCACCAGCGCTGGAAACAGTCCCAGGCACTCCTGGTAGCAGGAACATCCGAAGGAAGACGACTGCACAGCACAAACACACAGCACGCCTGCCCACCCAGGCTCCCTAAGCCACCGCCAATAACCTCTGAGAACAGGAGCACAGAATAAGCAGCTGAAGAGGAATGAAACAGGATTTTGTGGAAGTGGCAATGAATTCTAGTTGGTTTCAGAACTATTTTTTCCTCTTTCCAGGATTCAAGGAAAAAAAATTTTTTCATCAATTCTTTGTTTTATTAATTATCACCATACAGAATTTCTATCTAATTTTTCTTCAACAGACACTTACTCTGGTGAATTGTTCATTTTGAAGAACTACCTAGGCATCTTTTCTGGACCTATAACAAATCTAAAGCCCCTAGCCAGCAAATAAACCAGGACAAAAATCTCCAAATTGCCTGGAAAAAGAGATGGTATTTTGTCCTCTAAGCCAAATTTCAGCTACAACACTGCAGGATCACTACTAGCACATACCTCCATCAGGTCTTGATTTTAGAGCCGGTCTCCTTGGATCTTCTTGGTCAGGAACAGACCTTGCATGGGAGTTTGGAGGATGCCCCAAACCACCAGGAAATCTTGGGAACACATTCATACCTGTCTTCTGCCTCGTCCTTGGCTCACAGCCCGCTTCCTGGTAGGGAGACGAAATGACGCTGTGCAGGGTAGACTGTTAAACCATCTTCCCACCCCCAGCCCCACTCTCTTGGTGCCCCTCCCTTCTCTTTTCCAAGGCTCTGGAATGTGTCACATGGGAAATGGATCATGTGGCTCAAGGGGAGAATGTGGCCATTTTCTCTCTCCCTTCCCCCACTTTTCCTTTCAGGAGCAAAGCAGCAGAAATCTTCGATCTGATTGGCTCTAACCAAAAATCTCCGTATGAAAAGGGAAGATTCAACTACTGAAACCTCCAGCCTTCTACACTTTATCTGTTGTTTTATTTTTCATCTGGCTGTTCTACCCTGGGCACTCAGAGTTGCTTCATAGGGAGAGAAATGACACTCTGTCCCCAGCCTCTCTCTTTGTCACCATCAGTACCACTAACATGGCAAGGTGTTCCCTAACCAGCCTCCGGAGCCCCCGGGCACATCTGGGACAGCGGGAGCATTCAGCACCACGGACAGCATTACACCCACTTCAGTATTCACTAAAGCCATTTTTCCCCCTGGTCCATTTAACTCTCAGGTAAATAAAAATATTTCCCTGAGCTCTTTTGTCTAAATAGAAATCAGGCCAGCCATATTCTTAGGGGCCCAATTTCCCCATCTATCAATTTATTGTTTGTTACACTATAAATAGAAATGTAATTTTTACGTGTCACTAAACCCAAAGGCCATCCCATGTCTACCTCCCTGTCCTCATCCCATCACCCATCCCCACTCCTTAAATGTGTTGTATGTTTTGGAAGAATATGCTCTGTGTTTCTCATGACATAATTTACCATATGCCCATACATGTATGTTCAAGTGAAGAACCACGGGAACACACAGGATTTCTAGGTGTCTGTCTGCATGTTGTAGCCCCATCCCCAGGCTTCAGCAGGGTGGAAATAGAATGGCAGGGAGGGAGCTGGGTAGGAGCTGTTTTGTTCTGGGGTCTATCCTGCTTTGCTGACATCTCGGTTGCCATGGTGCTAGGTAACTGCTGAAGGGGAGGATTTCTTTCAGAACCGGTCACCATGGGACCCAGCTGGCTACAGAAAGGCAAAGGGAAAAAGGCTGAATTGCTGAGGAGGACTTTCAATTAGCATTTTCAGAGCCAAATTGACTTAACGGGCCCTTTCCTTACTGAATTGTTGCCGACCCTAAACCTTGAAAGGGTTCTGGGAATTAGTATGGACAACGCAAATGGTAACTCCCTCCATCCTCCACAGCTTCTTTCCTTAAAAGTCTGCTTAGGTGCAACCGAATGAAAATGCTGGCTTCATAGAATGACCATGGACTTTGTCACCGAGGGTTGGGAGGAACACGAGAAATGGATTTCTGCTCAGGCTGGGACTTCTGACTTTTGTGAAGCCATTTATCAAAGTCCTACAGACTTCACTGGGAAATGCTTTACCTCCACACCTGATAGTGACATTAGGAACAATTTTTAAATGTTTTACAATTTTATAGAATGGAAAAATATTATTTAATGCGAGTTGCTAAATTATTTTCAGTAAAAATAAATCTGATTAATAAGGTTAATTCCTTGGATAACATTTGGACTATCCCAAATCAGAAATTTAAACCAGGTATCTATTTGTCTTATAAGGCTGGTATATAAATAATTATTTTTAACTCAGAACCCTAACTATGGCAATTTTAAATATTTATGTTTGGAGAAAGAAATTCTTGATTCGCAATGTGCAGAAGTGCAAACTATAAGAGAGGAGGTAGCACAAGGGAGCTGGAACATGTTCTCAAGAAACTGAAGTTCCTTTCTGGCTCAACACTCACAGCTTAAGACATACTTACTCCTTCTATTTTAGGGGAAGAGTCAGGTTAATTCTAGTCTTTCTAACTAGGAAAAGTTTCTAGTTTTTCTAACTCACAGAGAAATTCAACTCCATTAATTCTAATATTTGCCACTTTCAGAAAATTCTTTTATCAGGAAGGCTGACGTGTGTTTGAAGAAACTGTCAGAAATCCAGAAGGGCAGGTGACTTAGATACAATCTTTCCTTAGTCAATAACAACAACAAAGACAAAACAGCTCACATTTATCATGTGCCATGTATTTAGCACATGATGTAACTTAATCCTCCTATCAAATAACAAGGCAAGTGCTATTATTAACATACTTGTTTTACACATGAGGAAACTAAGGCATAGAGAGGATAAGTAATATGCCCCAACCTGCACAGCTAGTTTGTGTGAGAGGTAGGATTTGAAACTAATCTTGACTCCAGAATAGGCACACCATACTATACTGTTCAGCATCATGAATCATGGACTAGGCTAAAATAACTTGTCAATTTAATGTGATATGATTCATTTCTATGGTCCTTTGACAGAAGAAATAGAAAAGATTGCTTTAAATTATTTCAGAACAAAAAGAAGTCTGAATTATCCATTCCTTTTAGAATGATTGCATGTGTACATCATGGATTAATAACATAATTTTACAAGGAATCAGAATAGTATTAATAACTGCTACAAAGCATGCTATATAAATACTGATTCTGTTAAGAAATATTGTTTCTAATCACAAAACTTATCCCTAGCCATTTGGAAGAAGATAAAGAGACCAATTGTCTTCCATTCAAACCCATAAAACCCTACAATACTTGGGTAGCTACAGAAATATTTTGAAAATGATTTGAGTAATTTTTATTCCTCTGCCTACTGAATAAATTTGCCTTAGGGATAGGAAGTATGGCTCCACTGAAAACTTACAAAGGAATGGAAAGAAGGAGCATCCAGCTTCTGAAATTCAAAACAGGAGTGTACATGAAGACAATAAAGCCTCAAATCCAGGCTACTGTTTTGAAAGCCATTCTTGAAATTGCCTTATTTATGCCTTCCCTTGTCATCAACCAAAGGTTGTTCAGAGTGTTTGGCCCTGCAGAGCAGGTCCTGAGACTGGGGGGTTGGGGGGGGCTCTGCCTGCATGGCCCCCCTGGCCACCCTGGATGAGAATAAGTGTACCAAGACATGACCTGCTTGGAGAGGAAAGGTGGAGGATCTCTCAAAGGAGAAGGGCCAAGAGCCTTTTCCTCAATGGGCTTTTATTGGGTTTGTTTTGCACATAAATACAGGTAAAGCTTATTAATCATTATCAGGAAGTAAGGATCAAACAAAGAATTCCGAGGGCCTATTTTGAGTCAGGGTCAGATAGCTAAAGGGTCATAAAACTTTGAGGAACAAACTCACTTCTGGCTTGAACCTTTATCATTTAATTGAGAGCATTCTAAACTAAGCAGGTTTCACAGGATTTTACATATTCTTTCTTAGGCCTGATCGCGCCCTAGGGAACCCACCCTTTGCAGCACAGGGCTGCAGCCACCACCTGTATTGTTTCAGGCTTAAGGCGGGCAGCGGAAGTAAGGCAGCCAAGAGATTAGGAGACTTCTCCAAGACAGAATGAGGACTCAGGCTATGTAAAAAGCTGAAGTGTGAGGGTCCATTACCCACCTTTGCTATAGCCCCTCCCCAAGTCCTTCCCTGGGGCCTCACTGTGATAGTGCCTGTCTTAGGTCATTCCCTACTTGGGGAATCTTACCCATCATTGGCTAACCGATCAAGCATTTGGGGGCCAGTTATAAATGAAGTAAAAGGAGCAGAAGCAGCACTCCTGCCAAGGAGATAAGCTTTGTCTCCTTAGTGGCATTTGGTCCAAAGGTTGCTCACTCAGCCTTAGGGGAAGGTTATAGCTTCTACAACTAGACAGGGCAGTTCCCAACAACTGGGCAGGCAAAAAGTTTCCAAGGGGTCCCAGAGCATGCAGACAAGTTTTATGGGAACTAATTTCTCAATCCTCACCTTCCACAAGCATGCTTTGCAAAACTGATCTTTGCCAGAACTGGTGCAGTCCAGGTGTTTGTGCTGCTTCTTGATTCCCATCTAGTACTTTTTCTTCTGTTCTGCCACAAAATGCTGAACCTCTCATCTACCATAACCTCAAATCCTACAATGGTGCATTGCCTGGGTTTAAGAATCCAGGAACCAAGCAAAGAAACAACTGAAAATATTGGAGATGCTATTAAGATATTGGTGAACAGCTCCAGAACAGGTAACAAATACTTTAAAAAGTCAGGATCTTTCCAATTGCTTTAAACAAAACTAGAAAACCATTGCCCAATTGTTCACTGAAAGATTCATTAAAATCATTTCTTTAGAAGAAAGCTCTCCTTTACAGGAGTATGTCAGCTAATAAATGCAGAATAGAATAACTAGAATGCCATTTTTTGCCAACCCCAGTGAAATAACTGATTTAGGCAGACTATAAAGGTATTCAAATCATCAGCTCCCAAGTTGTCAGGAACAGGTTGTTTATAGATTATTTACATATTGCAAGGGGAAATGTGTGCTTTTTCAATGGTGAGTCTGGGTGGGGTATTAACCAACTAACCAAATTTAACCTCACTAATAGTGGGATAACCTGAAATTTTATGCCTCACATAAAGCAGTGTGACCTTGACAGCAGATCATTCAGCCCTAGTCTAGTGACTGACTACAGTACCAGAACTGCCCGGCCAAGCTGCTCCCAAATTCTTGACCAACAGAAATCAGGAGATAACTTTTATTATTGTTTGAAGTGATTAAGTTTCAGGATATTTTGTTATGCAGTAAAAGATAACTAGTGCATAGGTGAAGCTCTAGAAAAAATAAGAAACCTACTTTTTCTGGGTACATTTCTGTAGTGTGTTAAGTAAGGGTGTTCTGCCTCTGATAGTTCTTGTTATAGGACCTCAGGCAGCACTCCTATTTTAACATGCTTTTATCACAGCTTTACTAAAGCGTCACCACTTGGGGTTTTTCTGTTTCTAACTCTCAGCATTTTCCTTCCTCGCCCGAGTCTCCTATCCTTTTACCCAAATCCACTC